TCACGCGTTGAATTTCCTTGCGTTATATCGCCACGCGTTGGATTTCCACGCGTTGAATTTCCTCGCGTTATATTGCCACGCGTTGGATTTCCACGCGTTATATCGCCACGCGTTGGATTTCCACGCGTTGATTCTTCACGCGTTGAACTTCCTCGCGTTATATCACCACGCGCTGGATTTCCACGCGTTTATTTGTCACACGTTGAATTTCCTCACGCTATATCGCCACGCGTTGAATTTGCTCGCGTTATATCGCCACTCGCTAAATTTCCTCCCGTTATATCGTCACGCGTTGGATTTCCACGCGTTGAATTTCCTCGCGTTATATCGCCACGCGGTGGATTTCCACGCATTGAATTACCTCGCGTTATATTGCCACGCGTTAGATTTCCACGCGTTGGATTTCCACGCGTTGAATTACCTCGCGTTATATCGCCACAAATTGATTCTTCACGCGTTGAACTTCCTCGCAATATATCACCACGCGCTGGATTTCCACGCGTTAATTTGTCACACGTTGAATTTCCTCGCGCTATATCGCCACGCGTTGAATTTGCTCGCGTTATATCGCCACTCGCTAAATTTCCTCGCGTTATATCGCCACGAAATATTTACTCACACGTTACTATTACCATGCGTTACCACTGTCACACGTTGTATTACCACGCGTCATATCGCCACGCGTTCCATTACCACTCGTTATATCGCCCGGAAAATTATCACTCATTATTATAACCATCAGTAATATCTACCATTGTACTGTCACGTGTTATATTACTAACTCCAGAAATATTGCGCAGTTATACCTGCGTCCATCCGTGGCAATATAACAAGAGTCTGCTGTACATTGCGTAATGTAATCACGTCTGAAAACTTATAAAAGCACCTACCGAATTGTTCTTCTCAGTAAGATTTAAGAGAAATTTCCAGAGCAGAGAAACAATTTAAATTGTAGAGTTGAATTAAAATTTTCTAATTAACTTGCGTAATCAGCATAAAGCAACGGAAGCTTGATATTTAGACTCCAAACAGTAAGACGGTAAAGCGTAGACTGACATAGTTCAAAGACAAATTTTTGACACATGCAAATAGACTTTTACGTTATTCGTGTCGTCGAATCGTCGCAAATGTAAATACCTTCGTTAAGTCTAGTATGAACGATCGTTCTACACAAACAATTGGATCGTTGCCCTTTTCGTCGTGCACGACACAAATTTAATGAAATTATCACTGTTTCTCGATGGAAATCATAATTAATAACCTAACACTCGTCTCGAGCGTTCACTTCCTATTATCCTTATAAGAGAATCATAATTTTAATCCCTGTATCACTTGCGATTTTTCTTTCACAATTTTCACTTCGATGCAACGAATGCTGTAATAAAATAACAATTTTCAGTCTCGAGTACACGTGTACACGTATAAACAAAAAATGACTGATTTTTATCTTATCGACAAGTTGTACAATCGCTGATATTTCGTAACAATTTATTACAGCGTTTCTTTTTACCTTCGTACTAAAAAATTACAATATACTTGAAACGTTCACTGTACATTTCATTTTGGGAGTTATCAGATTACGATTCTCATCACGAAACCCCTCAAATTTTATTGAAATTTAACGCACTGTCAGGTAACCCAGTTCGGAGGTAAAAGTCTTAGTATTGAAACGTTCAGAAACATCGTAACATAATGCGATTATTAATTCGTTGCATCGTGAATGGCGCTCGATCGCGAACTGTGATGCTTAAATTTTAGCTAAGGGAATGTATTGTCAAGTATCGTTGCTTTGTGTACACGGTTTCTGATAATAAGGAGTCTGATAAGAAACTGACCAGATACGATATCAAGAAAAAAACAATATAACTCGCGATGTTAAGATTATATTTTAACAAATCAATTTTTGCATATATGGTTGCATGTATAGACACTTTTACAAGGTATAAAATCTAACGCAATTTCGTGACATAAAAGCATCACAAAATGGCACTTATGGTATATCGATTTGAAGCTCAAGGCTTAACGAAAAAGACTACATAAACGTTTTATTGGAGTTCTCAAGAAAAAATGGATGGCTGCCAACTGTAGTGAGCTGTATCAAATTTTTGGAGGTGGGAAGTTGAATAAAATTTGATGACATAAAAGTATCACAAAATGGCACTTATGATATATCAATTTAAAGCTCAAAGATTACTGAAAAAGACTACATAAGTATCCTATTGCAGTTCTCAACAAAATATATGAGTAATAGCTAGATATAGTAAATGATATCGAATTTCGAATGATAAGAAATCTAATAAAATTTCATGACTTAAAAGTATCACAAAATGGCACTTATGACACATCAATTTAAAGCTCAAAGCTTACTGAAAAAGATTATATAAGCGTCCTATTGAAGTTCTCAACAAAATATATGAGTAATAGCTAGATATAGTAAATGATATCGAATTTCGAATGATAAGAAATCTAATAAAATTTCATGACTTAAAAGTATCACAAAATGGCACTTATGACACATCAATTTAAAGCTCAAGGCTTACTGAAAAAGACTACATAAGAGTTTCATGAACACTCTCAACAAAAAATGGCTAACTGCCAAATATAGTAAACAGTATCAAATTTTTAAAGGTAGAAAGTTCAATAAAATTTGATAACATAAAAGTATACCAAAATTGCACTTATGGTATACAAAACTAAAGGTTAAAGTTCATCGAAGATGTCAGCACGATCGCATCATCGACATTCCAAGTGTAGAACGACCGAACGCCAGTTATAGCGAACAGTAATCAATTTGGAACGCGTAGAATGTATCGATATCGCCCTTACAAAACGGAATATTTTAAAAATAAATATCTATGTGACTTATCTAAGGAATCAATTACTTACGTTCACGGTGAAGAAAAGAACCGACAATTATCTTGTAAAAGCATTTTTGGCATCGTACTGCTATGCGATGACGAGTCTACGCGTTAATCGTCATTAATGATTCACATCGGCGCCAATATAATTAATTTAGTACTGTAGTAGTAATTAATCTTGCAGTAAATTACACTTCTATATTAAATTACACTTCTACTTTTAATATTTTTGTACTTCTGTGCTTTTCTGGTACCAAATTTCTAAATTCCAAAATTTCCGGATTTATGTACGACTAGGAGCTACAACGCGTGGGAGTGCAGCGCGTGGAGTTATGGCGCGTGGAATTACCACGCGTGGAGTTACGACGCGTGGAGTTGCGACACGTGGAGTTACAACGCGTGGAATTACGATGCGTGGAAGTACAATGCGTGAAAGTACAATGCGTGGAATTACCACGCGTGGAATTACGACGCGTGGAAATACGATGCGTGGAGCTACGACGCATGGAAATACGGTGCGTGGAAATACGGCGCGTGGAGTTACAACGCGTGGAAGTACAGCGCGTGGAGTTACGACGCGTGGAAGTACAGCGCGTGGAGTTACGACGCGTGGAATTACCACGCGTGGAGTTACGACGCGTGGAAATACAGTGCGTGGAGTTACAACGCGTGGAAGTACCGTGCGTGGAATTACAACGCGTGGAAGTACAGTGCGTGGAATTACAGAGCATAGTTACGAAAGACTATTTTCGTGAATATTTTAAAAAAATGATTTCTGAAGAATGTCATCGAATCCGATCGCCGACCGTGAATTTTCTGGCACAACCACCATTAGGGAGGATGTTAGCATCGATGACGCGTGTTTTGGCAATGATGCACGAATTTCGTTGTCTCCCGAGAACGAAGACGAATAAATCACTGTTGCACCCAGTGCATTGGCACATCGTCGAAGGTAAACGAAAATAGTCATCATCGCGGTTAGTTAAATCACGTTAGAGGATCGACGACAACGATTCGTAACGTACGTGACCACTCTGTGATCAAAAACTATAATTCTCGTCAATTCTTGGAAGCCACCTTTGATTCCGGTCCAAAGGAGACAGGCTCGATTAATTGAGGCAATTGAGGCGAGTTACGGTAACAGGAAATAGCTCGGTTTGATTTAGATTCTATTTTCTGACCCTAAATAGATCGCTTTTGATATTTTCGGTAATGGGAGCCTTCGATCGACAAGATTCAAAAGATCGAAAAGATTTAACTTTATCGACTTGTATGTTGATTAGTATGTTGATTTTTATGGATGGGTTATTTTCTGGGGATTCGTCCGGAAAGTCGGCGACGCACGGTGGTCAAATTCGGTATACTTCAATTTGATGGCGATTCCACGCGTTGTAATTCCACGCGCTGTATTTTCACGCGTCGTAATTCCACGCACCGTAACTCCACGCGCAAAATTTCCACGCATTGCTATTCCTCGCATTGTACTTCTATGCGTCGTAACTCCACGCGTCCTAACTCCACGCACCGTATTTCCACGCGTCGTAATTCCACGCGTTGTAATTCCACGCGCTGTATTTTCACGCGTCGTAATTCCACGCACCGTAACTCCACGCGCAAAATTTCCACGCATTGCTATTCCTCGCATTGTACTTCTATGCATCGTAATTCCACGCGCTGTATTTCCACGCGCCATACTTCAACGCATTGCTATTCCTCGCACTGTACTTCTATGCGTCGTAACTCCACGCGCTGTATTTCCACGCTTTACAACTTCACGCGCCATATTTCCACGCATTGCTATTCCTCGCACTGTACTTCTATGCGTCGTAACTCCACGCGCTATATTTCCACGCGTCGTAACTCCACGCGCTGTATTTCCAAGCGTCATAACTCCATGCGACTCGAAATAGATCCACTGATACACATTGACTATTTAATTTGTACAGGTTATTTTGAGTAGGTTACTTGACTCAATTTTATAGGAATCAAGGATTTTCCCGGAGAGCCGGCGACGCACAGTACTCAGATTTTGTTTAAATTTTTAAATTAATTTTTAAAGCTTAAATTTAATCTAAATTGATGGTGTTTCAATTTGTATATCGGGTCGATTTGATTCGATTGAATATGGGTGCGGAAAATTTTTCCGGAGAGTCGGCGACGCACGGAGCTTAACATGTATAAATAACTATTTCATATCAGTCTATTTAACTGTGTATTATATCTAGCAGCTAATTTATTAACTCCTGTTTTCATGCTAAGATTATATCATTTTCTAACAACTATGATTAAAGTAATCTATCTTGACTTTTCCTTCCAATATTCAAATTGTAAACCTAACTAAATAAGCTAGTCGATATTATACACTCCATTCTTTTATTTAAATGCTGATTTAAATTTGCTTGAATATTAACATATCAAACTAATTTTTAAAGAAGAATGTAATTTGTGAAGACTTAAAAAAAAGCACTTCCTGAAGAATAATATCGACTTAACAAGTTTCCTCTTCAATAAAATATCGAAATGTTTGTATTCGATTACAGTTTCATTACCTCGAGAAGACGGTGCTCTAAATGACCCTTCAACGCAGCGAACTGAATCTTGCGATATTCTCCATGGGAAGAAATTTTCTTTGGACATTTGCCGCTCGATGATTTAGTTTTCACTCGAAGATGCGACATATTTGTCGATTCCTCTTAGAACGTTAAATATCGATGCTTTCTATCGGTACAACTTTCACCGAATGGGTCTCTTGTAGTTAGCGAAATTGCCGAACAGCCTTTGCGTTAAACACTTGTTTCAAACTGATATCCAACAGATAAAGACGCAGTTTATGTCGCTGTTGTTATTCCGTTTTTAAATAACGCTTCGCAACTGTATAATTATTAAAGCGGGCGACTTAGTTTTCCCTTTTTTCATTACTCATCGTCGGTGAAAAAATACGCGGTAAATGCAAGTAGCGGCGCACGGGCACTTTTGTATATTCAATTTTTATTAAAATTGTTAAATCAGAATTTGAATTGTCCAGAGATTTATACATTCGGGGATTTGAGGATTAAAAGACTAAGAAATTTTTTAAGTTGGTAATTAGGCAGTTCAGAGTATCAAATTTAGAGGACTTAGAAATTTTCTAATTTGATAAATAGATAATTCAAAGTATCAAATGAGTAACTTTTTGAATTTGTAAATTTGTTAATTCCTAAATTTCTAAATCTCCAAATCCCTAAATCACACAATCCCCAAATTACCAAACTTCCAAATCCCAAAATCCCTAAATTCCTCTATATCCCAATTTCCCTAGATCCAAAATTTCCCTAAATCCAAAATTTCCTTAAATTCCAAATTTTCCTACATCCCAATATCTCTAGATTCCAAAATTCCCTAGATCCCAAAATTTCCCCAGATCCCAAATTTCCCTAGATCCCAATATCCTTAGATTCCAAATTTCCCTAGATCCCAAATTTTCCCGGATCCAAAATTTCCCTACAACCCAAATTTCCCTAGATCCCAATATCTCTAGATTCCAAATTTCCCTAGATCCCAAACTTTCCCGGATCTCAAATTTCCCTAGATCCCAAATTCCCCCAATCCCAAATTCCCCAAATCCCAAATTCCCCAAATCCCAAAT